TTAAACTAAAGGGGGGTAGATTTAGACTAGATCTAAGGAAGAAATTTTTTACGCTGAGGGTGGTGAAGCACTGGCACAGGTTGCCCAGAGAGGTGGTGGATGCCCCATCCCTGGAAACATTCCAGGTCAGATTGGACGGGGCTCTGAGCAACCTGATCGAGTTGAAGATGTCCCTGCCCATGGCATGGGGGTTGGACTAGATGACCTTTAGAGGTCCCTTCCAACCCAAACCATTCTATGATTCTATGATATGAGTGAAAGTAGCTGATTTTAGTTCATAGTTGTTTTGAAATTATATTTAAATAATTTTTTAATAAGTGTTTTCATGTCCAACAGAGTTCCCACAGGCTTTGATCTAGAACCATCCCTCACACAGTGTGTTCTGAATATGTTAAATACAATATATTGCTGAATGTATTTGCTGAGGTTTCAAGTGTCTTGGTAAATTTTTGCAGTTTGATTTCTAATTTGCATTGAACTGATGTCTTTTGGTACAAATCTCTGGAAGCTGAGGTAAGATTGCTTTTATTTCACATGTGTCCCAAGATAAAGACACAGCTCCCAGAGCCTCTGCAGGGGGAGCACTGCCGTGCAGCCCAACGGCTTTGCAGGCACCAGCAGTTACCAGTGGTTGTGATATTCTCCCTGTTCGGAGAAGGAGAAGTTTTTACAGTGGCTCTCAGAACAGAGTTTGGAAATGGACTAGTTTTTCTAAAGCTGGAAGAAGCAGAGCAGGAGAGAAAGCCCCAAGGAGTAGGGGACAGTCACTAGGAGAGCCCGTGGCTGCTGGGCGCCCGTCACACTCCTCATTCCCCAGGCACTGTCCTCATGGTCCCCATCACTGTCACCAGGGTCTGTCATCCTCTGAACCGCGTGTGCTGGGGAAGAAACGTGTTTGTTGAGAGGCACTCAGATCATCTTAGCCCTGTGTTAGCTCCTTCCGAGCCAGCTCATGTGGCTCTGCGCAACCCTGCCTTGTGCTGGGGAGTCCCCCAGGCGGGGAAGGCTGGCAAATCCCTGCTGGACCCTGGTCCTCAGTGCCACTGTACCTTGCCTCATTTAGCAGGGTGTGTTACCTTCTTAAAGCCTGGGGGGCAGGAGAGCTACAAAAGCATTGGGACCCACTTAAATGATTGACCCATCCCCTCCAAACTTGCCTCTAAAGTACGAAATCAGAGGTCTTGCTGCATGAGTCTTGGAAAGCAGAAGTGGGGAATATCTCTTGAGATAGTATTCGCCTTTTCTTTGCTTCTGTTATCTCAATTTTGGCCTGCTAAACAGGTATATTCACGTGAAGGATGCAAAGAGTATGAAATGATTAACTGAGACATTTAAGGGAGATAAATACAAAAGAAGGCTTAAGAAACTCCAGCCAAGATGCAAGCACTTCTGCAATGGAGGGTTTGCAGCAGAGTTTCAGTATATTCCTGCTCCATTTACTGAAGCATGTGTTAAAATGTAAAGTAATCAGGATAATGATCTTGACTCTTTTCTATATATAATTAGTGTTATCCTCTATTTAATGGCTGTCTTTCAACAAGCAAAGGAAAGAGGCTAAGGCAGAAAGACAGTGCAATGTGGAAAAAAGACTTGGTAGCTGAGGTGGTCAAAGATGTAAAAGAGAAAGTCAATTCTGGAGTGCTGCACGTTCCTCCTGGAGCGACTGAGAAAAAGTGCATGTTCCAACAATCACAGAATTTCCATAAATGTTAGAGAGGGGAAGAGAAGGCATCAAATCTGGATAACCTGAGTCTGCTTATCTCTCAAAGGTCTCCTTTTCAAGGAAGAATGTATTATTAAAAGTGGAGAGGTAGCACTGTAATTCATTAATAAGATGTAATATTTTTCATTCTTTAAAATGCACCTGCATTTTAGAATTTTGCTTTTTCCCATCTCATTAAATGTTGAGAGAAATATTGGTGGTTTTATTTCTTTGGTGAGTGAATTGTTTCCATAGTGTAATATGTCTTATTTGGGCTTGTTGTAGCGATTATGTTCATTTACACATCTGTCACTTGGAAAAATCCAATTACTCTCATCTCAATTTAGATTGGCAGCATTTACAATTTTTTCTAATGGCATGTGGAAATGTGAAAGTTAGATGTGGAAGCCAGGGTGATTTAGACTCTTTTATGTATTGTTGTTTGTGTTGGTTTAAAGTTATTGTCAATGGATGTCTGTCTAATTCACAAGGCTGTCAAAGACGTGTTTCCTAGCAAAGGTGGTGAAACACAAACTTACTTTTGCTTTTCAAGAAATACGAGATAAAGGAAAACTGATGTGACAAGGTGCAGTGTTTGACAGTGCTCCACTGTAAGATCAGCTGTGATCCCGAAAATGACACCAGTGACTGCTGGAGCAGATTGAGCATATGCTCTTTTCAGATGAATGGATGAGTTATATGACTTTTGGGGAAAAGTTACCCAATTTGCTTTTCATTTTTTTTCTTCCATTTCATATTTAGCTGTCCCTATTTACTGCAGCAAATTGGCCCAATGTTTCAAGGCAGGACCCTCTGTTACTGCCATCTACTTGTCTGTATTGTGCATCACACCTAGAGATACTGAAGAAGTTAAGATGTCTGGGAAAATACGATGGAAACAAGCATTTTTAACAACTCTTTAATAGTTCTAAAAGATAATTGCTTGCTTACATTTAATGTAACATTCTACATATGCATTTCATGCTGCAGTCAAATTTCCATTTCAATAGGGGGATCTAATAATAGCATGTCAGCCTGTACCACAAGCCTCAGGCTGGTTTGTGGCACAGCGAAGTACGCGGGATGATGCTCCATCCTGTGGGCTACTGGCAGAAAGGCAGCAGCCAGAGAAAAATGCACTGTACACCATGAGCAATATACTTGTGCAGATGGCTCGTAAGCAGAGTGGTTTCTGGAACGATCCTAGTTTAATTGGAGAACTCGGAGGACAATCTGCAAAATTTTAGGCTTGGTGACACGCTTATATGACTTCTTGTTTATGTAGTAAAAGTACTCTTATGTTTTGTTATGCCCAATGTTATGCCCATGTTATTTCTTCTTGAAGAATTACCTCTAGAAATTTTAGGAAAACGGAAGCAATGAAACTGAAAAGAACAGAGTATAGGCGTCCATTAAAAGATAACATAGCATGGGTCCTACGTGAAAAATGGTGAATGAATTTTGCCTCTAGGAAAGGAAAGTACTGGTACAAATATACAGATTTAGACATTTTAAGTTACAGTTTAGCGGGGAGGCTGAAGGGAAGGGGAGGAAGCCTCACCAGCTATACTTTCTGATATGTCTGTGACACATGCTCATGGAAAACTGCTGAAAGTTCCCAACTGTGGTAGAGAAAAAGGGAAGGAAAAAGCATCCGACTGCCACAAAAACTGACAAAGAAACCCAGCCTCTCCCCTCTCCCTGCATTTCTGAGCCACATGCTCCCATAGGACAATTTTTTATGGCTATTCCTTCTGGAGGTATTATGCAGGTGTCAACCGGGGACACAGCCCTCATCACTTGAATTCCAGAACAACAGCAATTGCAACCCCTGTGATGATAATGAAAATGTCATATTGTTTTAAATTTTTTCTTTTATTGTCACACCTTTTGTTTTGATTGTGGCTTCTGCTCAAACTGAATCTGCTGTAAAAATGGCAGTCTCACACAGAAGACTCCATGTGACTCTGCAGTATTGCTGAATTAATTCACAGCATTGTTCGTTCTCTCACATTGCGTTTGTGTTGTTTCTAGTCTGCTTCTTCCTGAGTTGTGGGTACTGTGTTTTGGTTAATGCATTTGGAGTGCTAGCTAAAAAACCCCATGTTGTACAGAATAAATATGACAATGATTCCCTTAGGAGACACATGCCCTTTGATTTCTGATTTTGCCCTGCAGCTTCTGGATCCTCCAGAATGTGGCAATGGCTTTGTGGAAGATGGAGAAGAGTGTGACTGTGGGACAATAGCAGTAAGTGCAATGTACTTTAAATTAGCAACTAGATTCTCCAGGACGCGGTGCTGCTCATCACTGCCGTTGATATTAAGTGGAGGAAGACAGGCAATGTTAAGGTCCTGTGGCAAAGGATTCATCATTTTTTACCTTTTTCCATCATGTTTAACACAATGTGGGTGCTGCCCATCACTACTGTTGACATTAAGTGGAGGAAGACAAGCAATGTTAAGGTCCTGTGGCAAGGGATTCATCATTTCCTGCCTTTTTCCATCATGTTTAACACAATGTGGGCCAGCTTTTTTATTTTATCACACATAAATTCTGAAGAGTAATAGCAATAGCTACCTGTGCAGAATCAAGCCTTAAAGGATGTTAAAGAAAGTATTTTCCTAGATGGGAACATGATTCTGGTCAGTGCTAAAATGTCAGTATTTAATGATTCCTAACTGTGAAGTTAGGAAAATTATTTCCTATATTGCATAGCAAACAGCTGTGCAGGAGCTTCATACCTGACAGTGCATGCTTTTTTTTCTGCCTCCAGGTGCCTAAAAGCCTGGTTAAAAATCTGTTCAGGTAGCAAGCTAAGACGAGAAGTAATAAGAGAGCTTGCGGCTCATCTGCTTTTCCCGTGTATTCTGTTATAAGTGTGTGTGTTCCCCAGGAGTGTGCCAGCGAAGGAGGAGAGTGCTGCAATACTTGCACCCTGACGGCAGGTTCCCAGTGCAGCAACGGGCTTTGCTGTCGGAAGTGCCGGGTAAGGGCAGTGACCTTCACTGCAGCGTCCTGACAGTAATGCATCCAGGTGGCTACAGGCACCGCAGCACATCTTTTTCCTTGCAGACCTTGTGTTTCCTTTTCTGAAAGCTTGCCTTTTAAAATTGGCTGAAAACTGGTTCGTCTGGGGCTATTCTCTGTCTTTTAGTCTGGGCTTCTTGGGGCAGGGATTGTGATCAAATGCAGAGGTGAATTAAAGCCTTCCAGTTTCAGACAAGTTTGAATCAGGTTGAAGTTCCACGAGGTTTCGTTAGATGTCCTTGTTTAAACATGCACATCCTTACCCATGTGCTGCTCCCAAAGCCTTACATGTTGCTCTGGATTTGCCCATGAGACTGAATGGGAAGATCGTACCACAGAGGGCCGAGAGAAGGATATAGTTTAAAAAAACCAAAAAACCCGCAGCTAACAGAATTGTTCAGAAGCGTTCATCTAAAAGACACCTGACTTCCATTTTACTTAGGTCTGCCTGTATCTCCTTATCTTTGGACTGACTGAAATCCTGTTGAGTAAAGGGAATCAAGCCCTGTGTAAACTATAAGGTATTCTTCCTGATACATCAGTAAATACTAAAAGGAGGTTTAGCCAGATCTTGGCTGTAAGGAAGGGAGCCCAGCTAAATATGACTTAAAATAGTTGTTTATACTCATTTAGTAGTAATGATAATTATTATTAATGTTATTAAAACTGTGGTGTACTCTGTGTGATATTTTTATCTTTATCTGTGGGCATCTGAGGGTTTCATTTCCTCAGGAAGAACATTAGTAATAACTGTGGACCACATTCTTGACTTTGTGCTCATCCTAATGTTAAAAAAAGAAAAAGCACAGATTATGCTGGAACAGATCACATTTCTCTAAGCACATTCCTTTTTTTTAATATAATATCAAAGATTAGCAGATTACCAGTGTGGGTGAATTTTGTTCAAGTATCCAAGTCACATAGGCACCATATTAAAGACTCTCAGAAAAAAATTAAGCTTCTGCGTACCTACATTATTTTTGCAAATGAGAGAAAGGTTTATCTATATACAGCGAGGCGAAGGTGAGCCAATGAAAGGAAAGGCAGAATTTTGCAAAACACGTGTCCCTAGGAGGTGTTAATCAGGACAACTCAAAAAACCATGTATAACAGTTCCCAAACTTGGGGTTACCTTCTCCTGTAATACCCTGCCTGAAAGCAGGAGTGATGGAGGGATTGCAAGCAAAACATGGTGGGTGTACATCCCAGCATCTGTAGTGTCTCTGACAATATTCCTGTCTGTCTGCATTTTTCCAGAGACTGGTAGGGAAAAAATAAGCTGAAGGCTGAGAAAGTACCAGAGTCTAGCTCTGACGTGTGTCCATTCACACCAGCTGTGGAGTTAGCAGTTGTCCCCAAAAAAATGTATGCGCATGCAGATCTGGAAAAAAAGTCACACAGCTGCAAAATGAACTGAATATCACAGACTTAAGAAACCTTTCAGGGAAAATAAGAGGTCTGCACTAACAATTGCCACTAATGGGATGTCTTCCTGCTTTTACAAGTCTTGAGAGTTAGCACAGAAGTCTTTAACCAAAATGCCTATGTTAGGTCACTGATACATTTTTCTTTGTTAAATATCTGGTCACTTAGAAAATGGTGTCAAACCATATGAAATTCAGTACATTTATTAATAGTTTCTGTTCTACAATGGAGCCTTGTAATAATCATAGTGTTTATACCTAGAGATTTGCAGTGTTATTCATCCCTAGAAAGAAGATCAGGATCACTCTCCCTGTTTTATAAAGAAGAGTAAAATAGTCACAAAAAGGCACAGTGACCTGGTCAAGATAATGTTGCAAGCCACTGCAGTATTGATTTGAGAAACGCCAGGGGTCCTGTGTCCCGGCAGAGCACTTATCCTGCTCGGCCCCACACTCGATGCACTCAGTGGTACTCAGTACTGGTGCCTCAGTGGTACCACTTGCACCAGTAAATGGCCGGTGGCTTGACAGGTGCAATGTCTGCACCAGGGAAAGGAAAGTCTTCCCACTTCAGTCAGCACATGAAAATTTCGCATTTTTTATTTTAGTTAAAACTCGTAAGAAAGCATTGCGTTTCAGGCAAGATATGGAGAAATCAAGACAATAATTTTCTGTCCTTTTTTTTCAGTTTCAACCTAAAGGAGTTTTGTGCAGAGAAGCAGTGAATGATTGTGATATTGCAGAGAACTGCACAGGAAATTCCAGTCAGGTGATTTTTATATCTTCTATCCAAGAGATGAAAAAAACCACCTGTAGTCTTTCAATCACTATGGATGTTACTATTTTGTATAGTAAGGTGTATAAAAATTGTATTAAACCTGCTGGTACTGAAAAAAAAGGCATGATACTGAAATAATTTTCCATATGACACTTGTTGTATGCTTTGCTTCCATGCTTGTCTGATTTATGATATATTAGTTATTTTCTCTTTCTATAGTGTTCTCCCAATATCCATAAAATGGATGGATATTCATGTGATAACAAGCAGGTAATTAGCACATCAATTTGTTTTACATTCTTTATGCTTTTATAGATTCCTTTTTGTAGATTTTGGTTTAAGGTCTTTGGAAGTCACCTGGGACAGTTCTGTTGACATTCCTGAGGTTTGGGTGCTAGTTATATTTTGGAGCTAAGCATTTAAATGAACAGAAAGTGGAATCACATATTAGTTGCCTCAGTAGAAAGCATGTGACAAATCTGTATATTAAACAAATGCATATTTTGGAAAATCAAGTTATTTGAAACTTTTTCTGTATCTTTTCTTTCTTTCTAGGGTATTTGTTTTGGAGGAAGATGTAAAACCAGGGACCGGCAGTGTAAATATATCTGGGGTGAAAGTGAGTGAATTCTGTTGTTTCTAAGTTGTTTGTTGTTCATGTGGCTTGAAAGATTATCTTAGCTGAGAAAAATTACGGAAGAAACATATTCAGAACCATTAAAAACAGCTGGGACTGTATGTCCCTCCCCCTCTTCCCTCCTCATTTTGTCTTTCCATCCTCTTTTCCAGCTCTTTCTCTAGTGTTGGTTAACTTACTGGTGACTATTCTGAAGTCTTAGGTTTAACTTCTCATTAATAACCACCTAGGGAGCCTATACTCATATTTATTGATTTATTTCAGTGGCTTCTGGACATTTTTGACCAATAAATCCTGGTCAATCTGAACAAAATCTTAAAACAGTCCTGTGGTGCCAACATAAAACTTTTCATTGAGAACACTGTGCAGAGTTTCACAGGCCACTTGCAGACCATTGGTACTGCAGTTCACAGATTGGGAAGCTCTGCTTGCTTTGCTTGTGTATCGCCATTTCCCAGGACCTGGCTTTTTGAAGTCTTCATCATCTTAGAAGAGATTTGTTTCTGTTTTTAGAAGTGACAGCTGCTGACAGGTACTGCTATGAGAAGCTGAATATTGAGGGGACTGAGAAAGGGAACTGTGGAAGAGACAAGGACTCTTGGATACAGTGCAATAAACAGTAAGTTGATCCATTTAGAAAACAACTGGTATGAGATTTTTATCCCTGATCCAGTTCTCTAGCTGGCATGAAGAGGCTCAAAAAGCCTCTGTACAGAACAGGCTTCTCCCGGCCTTCTTCTGCAGACCTTAGTGCAGGAAATTCTGGAGGGAGAGGGGTGTTGAGAGGAGATGATTTCTGTCAAGAGAGTACCATCTGAGCTTTGGGAGCACTTGGACCAAAAGTACTCTTGGTGAGGCTTAGCAGGGCAGAGGAGAGCAGCCTGTGGTTTCATGTCTCAGTTCGCCTTTTATGCTGTGCCATTGCATTGCTAAGTCATGTTCAGTTTTCATCGAATTGTAACCCTCCACATCTTTTCCTGCAAGTTGCTGCCTAAGCCAGTTTCACATTCTGTATTTATGCAGTTGATTATTTCTGCCTATTTCTGAATCTTTCGCCAGTCCTCACCAAACCGCACCCTGGTTTTTCAGATGAGTTCTCCATTCTGTCAATGCCATTTGAATACTTAGTCCTGCCTACAGGTGAACTAATGTCTTTTCCCACGTTTCTGTGCAGATTTGATAACCTTACTTTTGTTCCATTACAAATTCATGAGTAAAAAATATTCAGTAATATGGGAGAGGCCAGACAGTGCACAAGTCTCTGCACACGAGTTGTAAAGTCCCTTCAACAGTTGAATTAAACTTGGTGTCTCTAGTTCCCTTACATATGTGTCATATGAGAGTTTGTTTAAAGCCAGTATCTACTGCTTCTTCTCTGCGGGCCAGTTGCTGTATCTTAATAGGATAATAAACCAATTTGATGTGGTTTGTTCTTGACAGCTCACTGCTTGCTATTACTCAGAGCATTTTTGATAATATATTTTTGATAATTTTGATAATACTCTTTTCCCAGTCTAAGCTCTGAGGAAAATAGTTTTCTTGGGAAACAAGACATTATTTACGGGAGTTACTGTCAGTGGGAGAAAAGCAAGGAATAACAAACATGTTACAAAGCAAGTGAAGAAAAACACATTTTTTTGATCGTCCATTTTCACTGAATTTTCTTTTCAGTGAGTATCTGTTTATTCTCTCAATGCAGGGATGTGCTTTGTGGATACCTTCTGTGCTCCAATATATCCAGTGTGCCCAGACTTGGAGAACTTGATGGCGAAATCACATCGTCAATCTTGCAGTTTGGAAAAGTCTACAATTGCAGGTAACTGGAAATCCTGAAAACAGAACAGACAATCAATATCCATCTTGCATGGAAAAGCAGCTTTCTCATTCCTAAGTGGAGAACAACTGTTTCCATTAAATTTTTTTTTCCTATTACACATAACCATTATTCTAGCTCAACCTTTGTCAAGCTTCAGGAACTTGACTGCGTGTGAGGAGTGCAGCTGTTTTGCTTTTGCAGTCCCCTCTGTGTAGTAGTTAATTTTGCCTGAAGAGACATAATGCTCTTCTCTGGCCTCTTGATTTTACAATAATAAAATTAATGTTTGTGAAGTACTTAATGTACTCAAAATACTTAGACATATGCCTGCACTGCCAAAGCTAACTGGCAGCTTAATACGTTGCCATATGTTAGCTGAATCCCAATTACAGACCTGGTGTGTTATCATAGCTTCACACAACTGTAAGATGAAACAAAGTCCTACATGAGTAAACTCAATGTTTTATCCAACACTAGCTCCTACACAGGAAAAATGGTCTTTGTTTTCACCATTACATTTGTTTCATGTAGGTATGCTACATTTTGGTTTGTTTCACGTTAGGGCCAGTGAGATAAATAAGCCAATACTTACTCTTTCCTGGTCCCGGGCATCATATAATGCAGACAGAAATGAAGGCAGCAGCCCAGAGCCCAGTTTCTCAAGCAGTCCCATCTAATCAAAGCACAAGTCTCCGGGGTCCTCTTGGTTGTCTTGCAGTGGTGGCCATGTGAAGCTCGATGAGGAGACGGACCTGGGCTATGTGGAGAATGGGACGCCGTGTGGGCCGAACATGGTGTGCCTTGAGCATCGCTGCCTCCCCACCGAGGCCTTCAACTTCAGTACCTGCCCAGGCACCACAGACAGCCAAATTTGTTCAGGACATGGTGTATGTTCTTGTACTCTTTAATCCTTTTTTCTGTTTTTGCTGAGTATCTGGCGTTGTGTAGTGTACTAGCTAGACCTTTCAGGAAGCCAGCAGCGTGACTCTAGAAGTCTTTAAACTGGAGAAGCTTTTGAAAAGGAAAGGGGGAGGAAGCACATAAATAAACATAATGCACACAGTCAAGGCATCTTAAACAATGAGTCACAGTAAGTACATATTAGTTTTGCAAAAATTTTATCAATCAATTCTTTTGCTATCACTTCTGTTAATGTGATATTTCCTCAGGCAATGTACTGGAGAATATAAAGGTTTAAGAACTGAGAAACTTGGGTCTCTGTTCTTCCAGATGCTTTTTTTAATTCCCTCTATATTATGTCAGCCAAGAAGGTTCATAAAGTTGTTGGATTTTGTTGGCTGAGAGTTACTTTGCTCTAGAGAAGAGGGCAGCAAGCTGGCTCTTGGCTAGTGACAGCTTCTCCGCTCGGTGCACAGCCTATGGCTTTGCTGTGGCCCTGGCGAGTCCCATAGTCCCTCACACGGTTTGTAGCAGTGTCCAGGTCCCTACGGCTGAGCTGAGATCAAAGGAGTTGGTCTCTCATAACATCTTTTGTCTTTTACACTGCATTAAAACTCCCTTTTTTATCTGAAATTAACCATTTCATCATATTTTGAAAAAACAAAATCTTTGAGGTTCAGAGTCTCCCAAAGCAATTATAAATGGCTCTGTTAAATATATATTACATTAAAATATATTAAGGTAATTAATACATATTACATACATTTATATATAAAGTATAAGAATACATTTAATACATTTATACCTAACATATAAATTAAAAAATGCTGTATATCAAAAACATTTTGCAAAATTTTGCAGGCAGTCAAAATCAGTGCTATATGACTGTACCTATACTGTAGTTATTAATTGTGGGAATAATTATGATTTTATTCTGAGCTACACTTTTGGCTGCAGGTTTGTAGCAATGAAATAAAGTGTGTCTGTGACCGATTCTGGGGAGGAGATGACTGCAGTTTTCACATCAAAGATGATATATTTTTTGATAAAGATGCCATCAATAAAGGTATGTTGTTATAATTTTTACCAATAACTGGAAAAGCTTGGATTTGAGGAAGGTTCATTAAGCAAAACTGGATCTCCTACTCTTCCAGTTAGCATACAACATTAGGCACCATTAGGAGCCTTATTCCCTTCCCTTCCTCCCTGTGTCTGTGAATGAGGTTTCAGACCTGGGGCTGGATGCGAGCGGTGCTGCTCACAAGCACTCAGTACACCTCTCGGGACTGGTACCAGTGTGTCTGGTTGTACCTTGCTTGTCCCAGTCATCTGAGTGGCCTTATTAAGTATATTGATAGATTAAGACAAGTAAAAAGTTACTGGGACTTTTCATATCTAGATGGAAAGGTAATGTTGCTTACATGATTGGTTTTGATTTGTAGAGTCAATTTTTTATTACATGGCCAGTATGCAGAATGTCGGTGCACAAATTTTAGGCTTTTACATTTTTTTAGTGACAGTTTTTATTCATCTTTTGGCTTGCATACAAGAGAAAGATATATTGTGAAAAAGTGAGGGTGTAAATCTTTTTCATTATAAATCCTTGTGGGGGGACAGTTTTACCATCTTCCAGAATGTCTCTTTTGATTAGTTTATTCAGCTGTGGAAGGGATTTGAGCCAAAACAAACAAAAAAGTCACTTTTATTCCAATGTAAGCATGTATTTGCCAGGCAGGTTATAAGGATGTAAGCTACAGCAGTTTAATATTGATAACATTATATTGGCATACCTGGCACAACTTTCCCATGTAGCAAGTGTTCAGTTAAGGGAAACGGACACAGAGGTCAAAGTTTGATTTACAAATGATCTTTTTATGTCCATGCTATACTTCAAGATTATATCACTGGTTACAATTAATCAGCCTAGTGCGAGTTGTCCAAGCAGGTTTTTGAAAGACAGTGCATTTACTGTTTTTGTATATTTTTCTCCTAAAACCCTGTACATTTTTCCCCTTTCTTGTGTTTCCAGGTGTTGTTAGCACAAATATAATAATAGGGGCTATTGCTGGCACCATTTTAGTGTTGGCTCTCGTTTTAGGAATAACTGGTTGGGGTTACAAGTAAGTAAATTGTGTTCTTCTTAATACAGTTAAAAATGTTTATTTCATCTGATAGCTGACTATGTTATGAAAAGAACAATTCAAACATAATCTAAAAAATCCAAATTGGATTATATTTATACAGTGACATTTTTAAAGTATTAGCATTTTTGAAGCAATTCTTGCATGTGTATGTGGTTTTGGAGAGTTTGATCCAGGTTTGAAATTGATTGTTATTTAGTTATTTCTTTTTTTTTTTTTTGTAGACTATCAGATTATGATTTTACTGTATCTGACAAAGGAAATACAAGAATACAGTCTGATGATTATAAATCTTCCCTAATGATGAAGTAGATTTAGCAAGATTAACCTTCAGTCAGTCAGTAAAGCATTTAACCATAGGCTTCCTTAAACAGATGTTTATATTCAGTCAGCTTAACCTGAAATTAATTCAGGCACGTTTTTTGTCAAGAGAGTGAGCTGTAATTTGCAAATAAGGTGCAAGTTCTCTCCTGGTGTAGAGCTGTCAGTGTTCCACTCACGGAAAGGCAAAATGGATTATTTTAGCCTGACTGCTCTTTTTCAGTTTTTCTCCTTTTGTGATTTTTTTCTAAAAACAGGGGGGTTTAGGTTTTTTGCAGGTATTAAAAAAAGATTCAACGTACTTACGTTGTCACCTGTGTTTGGGTGAGACTGGCTCTTGAAGTCCTTCCTCCACAGGTCCTTGGTGTGGTTGGAGGGCAGGGCAGGTTCAGCTGCAGGCAGTGCTGTAGCTGGAACACGGCCCCAGCGGTTTGGCGTAACGAACTGGCACATTCCCTGCCGGTCTGTTAGACTGAGGTAGGCTGAGGGCAGCTCAGAAACACGTAACGAAAGAAGCATTTGGAAAAAAGTATGAAGACTAGGGTAGTAAAAAGGTAGGTTATGCTGTTTTGGTATATCACCCTCAGCTTCTGGCTATCTGAAAATCTGGACTTCTCTTTTGAGTACAACTCCAAAAGTTAAGGGCTCATTCTGAGATCACATCTAGCCAGTGGGATTGGTTTTTGGTGGTGGAGGGCAAGAGTGCATTTTTCACTAGCAGCTTCACAGTGAATAGACTTAAACTCATCATGAACTGCACCTCCAACTCAGCACTTATTTAGCCATCAATATGAATATCTTTTCCTCGTTTATTCTGATTTAGTATGTTTATGAGTATGTTTATTTCAGAAGTGTTTTCTGTAGAAATATTTGGAGCAAAAATTTCATTCTGCATGCATTGCTTTTGTCTTTACAATTTTTTTCTCTTACTGACCATGTATACCTGCATACTGATAACTCATTCTTCTTTCTTTCTCTTCTCTTTGTATGGAAAGAAACTACAGAAGACAGAGGTATGTGATAAAAGTAATGGAATGTGGTAGCTTTTCTTCTCTCTTGCTCATTTACATATAGTAATCACTATGTTTTCCATAAAGAAAATACAGTGATGAACTATCATATTTTAAAGAATATTTGCTTGAATATTAGAATTGGTATTTATTGTATAAATGCATTGCTTGAAATCCTGATTTCACTGGACTCGGTAGCAAAAATAACGTTTACTTCTGAGATAGACTGTTTTATTTAGGAAAACAGGAGAATATTTCCAATAAGAGAGACTGAAAATCTGCTATTAGAGATGAAAGTGTTCTTGGGAGGCTGAGAATTGAATAATTAATATTAACATGATGTTCAGGAGCCTTGAGACAAATTCATTCCTGGAGCTTCTTTGCAGTTAAAAGTACAATGAAGTTAAATTGCTGTGCGAATGAAGAGCCCATTCTTTCCCGCCACTCTGCTCTACTGATTTGTAGCTAAAGCATGGTACCGTCTTCAGCACAGGGCTGAGCTTTCGCCCTTTCAAGCTTGTGGCCAAAAACCAAGCAGTTCCTCGTGACTGGGGTTTGGCTCCTGGAAGACCACCTGCCTTTGATCAGTCATCTGCCTGGCAGATGGGTCTTCTGGGGAGGAGTTGGCTCCTTCCTCTTCCAGTCCCCCACAGATAAGAGGGTTTCTCAAATTCCCCTGTTTTCTGCCTGTATCACCACCTCCTGGTCCAAGCTGCTGCTTGCTTTGTTGCTGCTACCTGTTGTGCTTGTTCTCCATTTCCACTACCTGTGTAGCGCTTTCTCTGCCAGGCTCAAAATACTTGCAAAAAGCAGAAAAGCTCTGCCAAGTGCTGGTTGCGTACTACAAGGTCAGATAGGTGGCAGGAACGGTAACGAGAAAAAGGCAAAGCTATCGAAGTCAAGCCTTATGGAGAGGTTGGTGGGTAGGAAATGTCACCTGGCACAAGGAAGGCAGGATTTCAGGGTTTGGTGCTGCTTAGTGGCACGCGATATATCTATAAGCACAGACTAACACGGCCATCAAGTCACTCTACTGTGGGTGTATCAGTGTTGGCTGAGGACAGAGCAGCCAAAACAGAAAGAGGCTGCCCCATGCATGTTCGCATCGGAATATTAGAGAATCTAACTTCTTCAAATTCCCTCGTCTCCAGAAATTAGTATATGGACAGAGAGCTGTGAGTATGTGGTCAGTCTGCAGCTGTGTCTGTGGGCATGGGCAGAGTAGAAACCAGCATAAGTTGAGGCTTTTGAAGATGATGGAGGGCTCCATCATTTTAAAGGTGATGGAGATATTTAGCACGTAAATCTCCTTCATGCAGAAAATGAAGTTCTGTAGGCTGACTTCTAAATAGAATAATTGTGGATATGTACAAGGAGTGCTCCATAAATGAAAAAAAACAGACATCCATCAGAGTGTCCAGAGTGTCCTTTTTTTTTATTGTTTATGATTACTCCTTCAATAAAGATGAAAACAAGCCATTAAGGTATTTTTGAGCATTACATAAGGAATGATATTTGGTAGTACTAAGCAGCTGAAATGAGTAAAATGAAAGTAATAAAAAGAGCAAATTAGGAAGGATTCTGCGAGGTGGGATAGTGTGGCTTAAAGGGGACATCTACATGGGAAGTTATTTCTGACGGAGTACCGAAAGGGCAGTTTGCTGGAGGAAGCCTGGAGAGCAGAGCTGCCCACACTGAGTCAACTCCGAACACACCGATGTACCAGCCAAGGAATGGGGAAAGAACTGAGACCCGAGAGATGCTAGAAGAAATAGTGTGGAAGTACTGTGTTACACTAATGATTTATGTGCCATATAATTATATATTTTAAATACTTTAGGAGCATTAGAAATTCAGATACGGAATGAAGAGAGCCCAGTTCAGGTCTGTAGTTGGACACAATCTGAAAGTGAATCAACCTTCTGATAAATGCTCATCTTAATAGGGGCAGACTGAAGCAAAAAGGCCTTGAAAGGTGTGAGGCTGAATAGATGATTAAGTTGCTGGTATTATGATACAGCCAGTTTTCAAAGTAGCTACTTGCCCTAGGGAGGATTTTTCAACTTGGTGGAACTGTAACTGGAATATTTGCATGGCAGTTTTTCTGCTGGCAATGAATTCACCTGCAAAAAGTGCATAACTTGATTAGGACTTTCTAATGCATAGATAGTTTTATGCACCATGACCAAGCGTCTAGTACTGGAAAAGGATGATAAACTATTGTCAGATGTGTGTGGCGTTATTCTTGTGTGTCTTGGCAGATTGAGTCTACTGTGGTAAGCAGGAGTAGCTGAGAACCTCTGACGCTGGTATTAGTTCCCCTGCACAAGAAAACAGTTAAACTAGATGTTTTTCTCCTCCTGAGGCTTAAACAACTCAACAGGTTGCTATTCTTGAATTCAATAATGATCACAAAAATTAAATGGAAAGCATCTACCTCAGAAGGAAAAAAGCATTAACTTTTCCTGAACTCCTTTTTGATGCAGGCATGCCATTCAGCTCAGGCTGCAGTACTTGTACTGCACCTGGGGATGCTTTTCGCAACCAGTGCAATGAGCCATTTGAAATGTCTGAACTTGGTTATCCAATGTCTCAAGAACCACCAACTATTCACTTTGAAAATTGTGATCAGAGTTTATCAGTGAAATGTTCCTTGTTTTCCCTTACCAAAACCACATAATCCACTTTTCTGCACATGTCAGAAGCACGTGGGAGTTTTCTCTCAGATGGTTGAATTATTTATTAATAGGCTTATTGTATGTGGTTAACAGGTTTCCTCAAGGATCGCAATTCTTGCCTGTTTCTTTTAAACTAATATTTGTGCATGTTTGTGTGTGTGCTGGTGCCTGTCATGTTTTCTGACTCTACGATGTTTATTATACTTTAGACAAATACCCCAGGGAGATTATGTAAAAAAGCCTGGAGAGGCCGACTCTTTTTATAGCGACATGCCTCCTGGAGTCAGCACAAACTCTGCATCTAGTTCTAAGAAGAGGTCTGCTTTTCTGTCGCATTTTCAGATTTCTACCTGTTCCATCACCCATTATTCCATTAGTCAGAACATTTCATTGTTTTGCAGCAGGTTTGATTCTTTCTTCTTTCTTTGTGGAATGTTTGAAATAGCATCCTTTGTGCTTTGATTACTGATTTTTCTCACATGCCCTGAGCTGCTAATTATTACAATTAGTCCAGAATAAACAAGTTTTCCATTGTAAACCAATTTTTGGTTAATCGTATTTTCATGATCTTCCTGCTTGAGAATTGTTTTCAAGTAGACAGTAATAATAATTGCTGGCTCAAAAAAACCCTAAATAGAAGAACCACATTTTTTTTAAATCGTGGTCATGTAATCAAAGAAAAGGAACACTGTCTTGCTTCAATAATAGTTATAAACATAAACTGTTCAATATAAATGTTATTTTTATATCTTATTTGTCAGCGTCATTAATTCACTGAGTTAACGTACAGTTCTGGATAATATTCTTGCTGTCTCACATTAAAGATGATGGTGCTTGCATTTTATTCCACTTACTAGACTAGTATACTAAATGGTCACCAAGTATTATCTTAGAAAATAATTCTACAAAGACTTTCTGTAGTTTTGTGCTTGCTATTATGGGTAACCAAGGAGGGCATTAGATTTTGCCCTTGATCAGATTTCACTAATTCTGTTATTGTTCCAGTTACTTTAAAAATCCATCAACATTTTAAAATGGAAAATTCATTGAAAAGCATTGAGAGTTATTTTTAATTGCTAAGGTCATTAGGTCATGATGCTCACCATCCATCTGCAGTCAGAGATCCTTTAATTATGAAAATCTCCAGCTAGCACTTTAAAACAATTTATGAGAAGCACTATGTCATAGGAGGGATAGACAATCTTGAACTGCTTCATAAGAAAACTGCAATTCTCAATTCTTGTCTTGCTGAGCAGTCTATAACTGTGCAGTTGATGAAGCCATTTTCTTTGTTGTTATTTCAAAGGAAGTGAAGAGAAATGTATGGAAGGGATACATTTGCAGTGACATTTGCTATTTGGGTATAGCAGCTTGATCCTATATGCAACTTAATTCAGTCTGTTCTAATGAATGTGTTATTAAGAAAGCGGTAGTAATGTATAGTTAATTAATGATTTCTAATTTTTAAATTCCGCTTTTTAGATTTATGAGTGGATAAATTATTTGTTTTCAGGGAGCAAGCGTTAATCTTAAATGATGCACTGTTTGTGTTGGAGAATCTTTTCTCATTTGGATAAAATTTTTTAAAAAGTCTTGGGGAAGCAAGTTTTCATAGCTTCGTGTAAGCAGGTTCAAATACCGGTTAAGAAAAAAAAGTTCGTTTTTAAATGAGTATCATTTAATATGTTTCTTCTTTCATTCAGTATCTGTGTTTCTTTTCATACTTAATTTCTTTCATGTGTTTCTGTTTATTATTTGTTCCAAAAAGCTAATGGCTTCTAAGGTCTGTCTGTACTAGAGAGTTTTGTTGTTCCCCACCACCAGTTCAGGTATGTTGTGCCACTGTAACGTCTGGAAAAGTAAGTCTGACAAATATTCCATTAACATTTTGGTGGAGCTGACATAGTCCTCCCATTTCAATGCCCAAAGTGCTATTTCCTACCTTGCAAGCTGGTTTTGATTTGCTTTGTGTGCAGATACGGATGACATCTCTTGGGAGACATTAGAGTGACCGGGCCATTAGCCACCTGGGCTTCTCCATGCTGGAAAGCACTATGAAGTGTTAGTATTAGGATGTTCAAGGATTAAGAGATAACTTTATGATAACTCTTCCTATTATGAAACGGCAAACACCAAAACCAGTACATAGCAAGACACTCCTGAACCTGAAAAGAGACCATTAGGAGGAGAAAATAAATTATTATAAAATCTGTTAAAGGATCTGTTGGTTCTCAGACCTTTCATGCTGTAAGTAAGTAATTAATGAAACCCTGGACTTAATTCAGTGTCGCTGTGATTAGCCTGGTCTTCTGGAAGCTGAAGAGCATCTGTCAGATGCCTACCCTCCCAGGAAAGCGGAGGCTGAAAAATGCAAGAGTATTCAGACTTAAAAACTACAGAAATAGATCCTTTAAGCAAAACTTCTTTGTAATAGATAAGCCATCTATTCTGACCAGTTTTGAACTTGTCTTCTTTTCTTTTGGTAATAATTGTAGATCTCGTGGCGAACAGCTGAGCAGCAGCTCTAGTTCAACAGGAGGGAGCCTGTTGCAAAACCCCATGTGTTGGACCTTGCCAGACACATCTCTGGCTCTTAGAGGGAATACAAGAAGAAAGAAAAACTTTAGTTTGCACCAAGCACCTAGATATAAAGACTGTTTTTGGCTTTGAGTTTGGCATTAAAATTATATACTGTAGTGATTAGCTGACAAAATATAATAAAAATTTCAAATTAGCAAAAATGAGACAGAGTTACCCTCCACTGGAGCTACCAGCTGTGGGTGGGAGGATGGTTCATCGCAGACTCCTGGACCCCTGAGACTTGTCGCAGTGGGTAGAGGGAAGCAGTCCCAGCTTTCCTGCAACAGCACAAGGAGGGAGTGCGCAGCCTGCAGGTGGGATGTGAGGAAAAAACACCTTGAGACGAGCACAGTTGGAAGAGCATCTTCCAGCTAAGAACTAGGGCAGAGCTGGAAATCTGGTGTGCACTGGTATTTGTGCTTTCCACAGTAGACATGGGAGAAAGCAGTGCTGAAGCCTGGCTCTTGAATATGGATACACCAAACGACTCTTTAAGCAAAACTTCTTTGTAATAGATAAGCCATCTATTCTGACCAGTTTTGAACTTGTCTTCTTTTCTTTTGGTAATAATTGTAGATCTCGTGGCGAACAGCTGAGCAGCAGCTCTAGTTCAACAGGAGGGAGCCTGTTGCAAAACCCCATGTGTTGGACCTTGCCAGACACATCTCTGGCTCTTAGAGGGAATACAAGAAGAAAGAAAAACTTTAGTTTGCACCAAGCACCTAGATATAAAGACTGTTTTTGGCTTTGAGTTTGGCATTAAAATTATATACTGTAGTGATTAGCTGACAAAATAAAAATAAAAATTCAAAATTAGCAAAAATGAGACAGAGTTACCCTCCGCTGGAGCTACCAGCTGTGGGTGGGAGGATGTTCATCGCAGACTCCTGGACCCCTGAGACTTGTCGCAGTGGGTAGAGGGAAGCAGTCCCAGCTTTCCTGCAACAGCACAAGGAGGGAGTGCGCAGCCTGCAGGTGGGATGTGAGGAAAAAACACCTTGAGACGAGCACAGTTGGAAGAGCATCTTCCAGCTAAGAACTAGGGCAGAGCTGGAAATCTGGTGTGCACTGGTATTTGTGCTTTCCACAGTAGACATGGGAGAAAGCAGTGCTGAAGCCTGGCTCTTGAATATGGATACACCAAACGACTGCAGGGACAACTGGCAAAGTGTAACTGCAGGGTTTAACCAGAAATCCTGGATGCTCTGCTGGTGCAGACAGACCTTAGGCTGTGTTATGCCACCAGCCTTGGGAATGTGACTCTCTCAACCGCTGAACTAACATTGATGTGAGACAATACCCTTAACAATAACCGCATCTGAGCCCTCCTATTCCAGGTCAAATGGATTATCTCATTCCTGGAGTGAAAGGATCCCAGACACAAAACATATTTCAGACATTTGTGAAAATGGGAGGCCTAGGAGTAATTCTTGGCAAGGTAAGTGTGAACCTCTATGCTGGCCGCAGTAGAAACCAGCCTCTGAGCCATTGCTGCTCTGCTGAAAGTTTGGCTGATCTTAGGACAGCAGCATGACTCCTTAAAATTGTGCTAATTGTTATTAAGCTGGAATTGGGATTTAGAAGCACCCTACACAAGTACCTTTTTCGCACAATGCTTTGGCACATAGAAATGACATTTAATTTCTCCCATTCCTCCAGTGTGAGCTAACATGAGAAAGAGGAAGAAGTCTATTCACTCTTGCCAGCTTCTGTGATTTTATCAGGCAGTGTTCAGTTGGTTTTTTTGAATTGTAGCGATTTTCTCAAATGAAAGCTGAAATTAAGGAGTTTTTTGCTCTGCACAGTTGCAGCAAAAAGTAGAGAAAGATCACCTAAGTGTCAAGTTTACCTGGTCTGAGGTAAATCAAGAGGGACTGACCTGTGACTTTTAAATGGTTAAAGCTAATGAGGTAACGACTCTTGCTGGGGATGCAAAAAGAATATACAGTTTGGCATGGGATGCAGGTGAGTTTCAAGTTGTTTTACCGTCTGTCTTTATCCTTTGATTTCTTTCAGGTAATATAGGAGGAAACAGAAAGAAAGTCAGAGGCAAAAGATTTAGGCCACGGTCTAATTCAACTGAGTAAGTCTGAACTTATAAAAGCAGAGCCAAAAAGTACAGTTTTCATATTTGTGTTTTGTAGATGGAGATTAAGAGTACTGAAAAGTAGACAGCTCATTTTTGCTCTGTGGCCCATTCTGATTGCTGACTGATAGTCTGGTAAATGGTTTGGCTAATATATTTCAAGCTCTTTTTATGTATTCTTTAAAAATTAACTATCAATTTTCTTTTTTATGTAGGCTTCCTCACAGTCGTTCCCATAGCAATTCCCAATGATGGTGGCAGCCTGCACCATCACTGCAGGCTTTTGTCTACAGTAAACTGCCATTGCTGAGTGTATCCTGGTTCAATACTGAATTTCTGATAACCTGTTTCCTACCCTTGTCTTCACCTTGGGTTGGGCCATTGCAGAGTCAGAGATTTGTATCTTTGCGTACCTGCCTGGAGGTTTTAGGAGAGGTATCTGTCTGCTTTGAGAGTACTCTGAAGTTTATTGTTGTAAGCCTGAAACAGCCTGTCTTGAGTAAGCCCTGCAATAAATGGGTAATGAGAGTCTTTACCAAGCAACTGATCCCCAGACCTTTCCAGTATGGCTTAGAGTTGCTTTCTATATTGATTTGTTGGTTACATTTACTGAAGAGCCCACGTGTGCAGTGCTCCCCCTAGGGAAGGGG